GGAACTGCTTCATAGTCTCTCCTCCCTTTTCACTGACAAACTAATTCATAGAAAGTAACATTTCACTTTAATTCAAAGACAAACTTGTCCTCCTTCCCTCCTGCCTCAGAAAACTAACTTGTAAATGGGGAAACTAGTTCCGTCTCAGCTTCTCTGAAGAGTTTATATTTGGCATACTAAGGATATTTCCAACACCATTCCTTAAATTCCTCCAAAGACCTCTCCCATTTACAGCAGCACTTGCCCGAGACTTCAATAAGGCCTTTTTTCTTCTCAAGCTTCAATATTCTAAATTACTTGAAAATTGTGATTTAAAAAATAGGTGCAAAAAGTCTTTCTTTAGAAAAAAAAAGGCTTCACATACTGTATTCTATTCACTTATGTATCTGAGATCCATATTTAATTATAGAAACACTCTGCCATTATCTCATACTATTCCTTTAAAAAATTCAGAAATATGTTTGGTATTGATCTGTGTTTACCTTCAAGTCTTCCTGCATGTCACAAGTACAATCTGTTCATAGAGATTACGGGAGGCTAGAGGTTTAGTGCAGTGGCAGAGCCCTTGACTAACACTACAAGACTCTGGATTCAATCCTCAATATGACAAGGAAGGGAAGAGAGGGGAGGATGGGAGAAAGCAACAGTGGGTTAATTTCATGCACCAAATGCTCTCTGAGTTGTATCATGGCAAGTCTGGAAGGTGTGTGATTTCATGACAGCTCACCATTTGTTAGCTGTGTGGTAGTGAACATGCCAACCATTTATTTCAAGCCTTAATGCTTCCATCTATAGATTAGAGACAATGGCAATCACCCCCACAGAGTTCCTGTAGAGTTTAAACGAGCTTACGGCCATAGTCAGAGTTTGGGAACCAAGGTTAGGGCTCAGAGTTGGCTGGTTATATTATGCCACAGAGAATGAAACAAAGCTACTAACCAGCATTGTTACAGCAAAGCTACGAACCAGCATTGTTACAGCAAAGCTACGAACCAGCATTGTTATAGCAAAGCTACGAACCAGCATTGTTATAGCAAAGCTATGAACCAGCATTATTACAGCAAAGCTACAAACCAGCATTGTTACAGCAAAGCTACGAACCAGCATTGTTACAGGAGAAAGTTGGCTACAGTGTCTGGCAAAGATCTAAAGAGACAAATTAGTATTCTCTCGGGAATCTTCAGCCTTCGGGCTACCTCCATGTGGGGAGAAGGTGTGAAGAACTGTGAGGGAGGAGCTCTGAGCATACCGGCCCCAACACAAGGCTAAAGATGTAGGCAAAGCCAACTAGTCTTTAGGAATGAAACATTTGACTCTCTCTGGCACTCGCACGATGCCACAGGGCTTACTTTGAAAATACGTACTGTTACATAAGCAACTAATGCTGCAAATATATATACATCTAACACTGAGAGATGGAGATATCTGTTGCATGGGGAAATAAAAGAGTTGGCAGACAGATCAGAAAGCAACCTGAGTTGATGACAAATCACTTTAGGCTTTAAAAGACAGAAAATCTGGGTTTAAGTGTTGGCTTTATCACTTTGTTTTTGGTATAAACTCAGGCAAGGTAAATAGCTTTTTATATCTAATTATCCCCTTGTACAAATGTGGATAATATTAATACCTATTTCAAAAAATTATTGGGGAGATTAAATATACAAATTACTTAGGATAAATACTGGCCATATTAAGCATCAGTTGTCTAATTCATAAAACAGAGACAAAATTTATACCTTCACAAGTTGCTAGTTGAATTTAGTACACTTTACCTATAAAATATTCAACACATGAGTCAATAGTTGGCATTTTCATTAAAATGTAGGTGGATACCAAAACAATTTTTTGACCTGAGAATAATATTTCATAATGGAATCTTTCATCTCACTGTAGTGTTGAGTGTGTTCACTGGGAACCATGAGGAACTGGCACTCGTATTCATTTCCAGTGTGAAAACACATGGGGATGAATCCATCAGCTAGATCTCAAGCCGGAGTTATAAATTAGACATTTTTTAAAACACTGTGATTTTGAACTAATGCTCCCTTAAATAATCATTCAGTAAAAAAGTAAATACAATAGCATACAGATCGACAACCAAAAGGACAACTTATACTTGTACTTACAGAGAAAACAATATTTTATACATTTAAAAAAATCTTCATAAGGACCTTACTGTAATGGCTTTTAAAAGAACAAAATAGGGGCTGGGGAGATGGCTCAGTCAGTAAAGTGCTTGCTATGAAATCATGAAGACCTGAATTTGGTCCTGTAAATCCACCTAAAAAGCTAAGTATGCTGGTGTGATCTCTAATCCCAGCACTGGGGAGGAAGAGACCAAAAGACCCCTGGGGTTCAATGGCCATCCCACCAAAGTAGCCAATAAGCCCCAGATCCCAGTGAAGAGATCCTGTCTCAGAAAAACAAGGCTCAGAGATCTGTTCTCAACCTTCCTAACGCTGCGAACCTTTAATACAGTTAGAGCCTCATGTTATGGGTCCCAAAAATATTTCATAGCTACTTCAAAACTGTAATTTTGCTACTGTTATAAATCATAATATAAACACCTGATGTGCAGGATATCTGATATGCAACCCCAATGGGGTCACACTCCACAGGCTCTGAACCATTACCTGAAGTCGCTCCGTGGCCTCCGTGCCAATGCATGTGCACACACCATGCACATGCGTGCGCACACACCCACACACGGTGGGTGAAGGGGGTTAAAAACGATGCTATACAAATTAAAATATAAAATTAACTAATTGGAACCAACAAACAGAACTTTTATTTAGTCCATTGGTTAACAGGGTCAGCTGTCAAGAAAGGCAACAACTGGGTCGACAAGGGTTAGCCACAGGAAATCACTAGTGAGGTAACTAAACTCACTGTCTAGATAGTTGGGCTTGTGGAGAATACTAGATAAATCATCTTTTAACATGAGAAATGACTCATATTGAAAAGAGAAAAACAATAACACCCCATGAATGATAATCAACTTTGAGTTACGTTTCCCTTAGCTACAGATAGTCAAACTGGAATCTTTTCAAGCCTTAATTTTTACCCTAAAATTAACTGGGCTGAGGGGAGACACTTTAGTCTTTCACCTAAAAGATGCTAAGGATGAGAAATGCAAAGGTTTCAACAAAATGATGCTTTACTGTTTTTTGTTTGTTTGTTTGTTTTTTGGATGTTTGCCTAGCAGGAAACAAAGATTTAAGGCTTCTATGGAGAAGTGACACATGTGCCAGTCTGGTCCCAAAAGAATGTGAACTCAAGTTTAAAACAACACTCTGGGGCTGGAGAGATGACTCAGCAGTTAAGAACACTAGCTACTCTTTCAGAGGTCTTGAGTTCAATTCCCAGCACCCACATGGTGGCTCACAATCATCTATAACTAGTCTCATGGGATCAGATGTCCTCTTCTGGTGTACAGATAGATGTACATGCAGATAAAACATCCACATACATAAAATTTAAAAATCTTAAAAGCAAACAAATAAACAAAAACTACCTGTAATTTCTTCTAATCAGTTACTAGGAATATCTATCTATCTATCCAGATAGATAGATAGATAGATAGATAGATAGATAGATAGATAGATAGATATTATCTATCTAGATAACATTATCTAGAAATATGAGAACCACATACTGATTTTAAATTCTCTAGAACATGCAATACAGAGCAAAAAATATAATGTTGCTCAATTAACTCAATATTCAAAATACTTTCAACACAGTCAATATAATCATTATTGCTGAACTGCTTTATTTTTTTCATGTAGAATCTCTGAAATCCATGGTATATTTTATATTTGCAACACACTTGAGTTTGAACAAGCCTAGTTGAAATGTTCCTGGTCACATGTGGCATGTCGGTATTTGTGCTGATTTGTTTTGTCAACTTGACACGAACTGTGTTCTGAGAACCTGGACTCTCAGGTGAGGAACTGCCCCCATCAGACTGGCCTGTGGGCATGTTGATTAATGTGGGGGCCCAAGCCAACTGTGGGCAGTGCCACCTTGGTCAGGTAGCCCTGAGAAGTAAGAACTGAACAAGAGCCTGAAGCCAGCCAGTGAGCCGCATTCTTCCATGGTCCCTGCCTCTGTTCCTGCTTGAATTCATTCCCTGACTTCCCTCAATGATGGACTTGAACCAGACACATAAGCCAAATGAACCCTTTCCTCCACAATTATCTCTTGGCAATGGTATTCATCATAGCATTAGAAAGGAAATCAACACAATGTCATGTCAGACAGCAAAGTCTAGAGGTCAAGTTCCCAGGAATCAGAGACATAGATGTGTGTGTGTGTGTGTGTGTGTACATTACATATCTATATCTATACATAGATAGATAGATAGATAGATAGATAGATATAATCCAGTAACAAAAAATCTAATTATATTACTATTAATAGAAGAATATGACTATACTAAACTCAATTCAAGCCTCAATGATAATTTTGTAACATTAAATTAGAAATTCCTAAGCAGGTGAATTCTTTCAGGTATATTATAAGCACATTTTACTATCAGTAGAGCATTTTCTTCTATAATTACTTTTAAATTATTTTTTTGTTTGCTTTGTTTTGCTGAAATGGGATTTTTCTGCGTGGCTCAGGCTGGCCTTAAGCTTGTGACACTGTTCTAGGCTTAAAATTATATTCTTCAACAGAAAGCAGATCAAAATACTATTAAATTTCTTTTAAAAAATCAAATAAATTATAGCTTTCTCTCTGGAATGAATAAACTCTGTGTTCATCAAATCTATATTCATCAAACATGTTAATATTCCCATATTCAATTGGTGCGCACAAATAAATTTGTCACATATTTGGTGAAAGACTATGTTTGACACAGTTCAAATACTTCATAAAAAGTTAAACTATATTCATTATTTTTAAAGTTGTTGCCCCCACAGGGTAATGAGGTCACTTAATGCATATTAAGAAGGATCTGATAACCAACAGTAATGAAAGTTTGGGGGAAGACTTACTTTGTCTGCTAGGAGCTCGCGGATCTTGCTTGCTTGAACTCGGAATTTCATGAGCTGAGCCTCCAGAGCTACACAGCGCTCTTTCCAATCTATTGGTCCTTCTGGCTCAGGGAGCTCCTCCATAGTTCTTCAGGAGGAAAGGGAAGGGGGAGGGGGAGGGGGAGGGGAGGGGGGAGAGGGAGAGGGAGAGGGAGAGGTAGAGGGAGAGGGAGAGGGAGAGGGAGAGGGAGAGAGGGAGAGAGGTCAATACACATATTAGCCTTGAAGATGATTCAAGAAATGAGCCAATGTACTGAATGCCATCACTACATAAGTCTAAGATTCTGAGATCAAGCCAGCACTAACTAGATTTGGAGAATTAAATGACAGACAAGAAGTCAAGGCTGGAAGCCATACTGGGGTGCTTAATTTTCTGTCTCAGTTTAGCCATGCTGAAGGACAGAGGGATGCCGCTAACAATCACAAGCTTTGAGGACAAGCTGTGAGGAGCAAATGAGCCAGCGTTCCTTCCAGTAAAGCAGCCCAGACACAGACTATTGTATAGTAACTCTTCCCAACAGCTAAGTCTTTAAAATAGCCACTCAATAATTCACACTCACTCCTGGATTTGCAGACGTCCCACAACGTGTTGGTAATATGACAAAATAACCTATGGAAATACCATACCTGCACTAGAATTACAGTTCAGATTGCACTAGAATGATGATTTTGGATTCATTTGGGTTCAGGCTAAGTCTCTCAGGCCAGAAAGCCTCTTGCTTATATAACCAGGGAAGTTATTAGAGACCTGACAAATACGTTTTCATTTCAGGGAGAAAGAGGAAACAGATAAAGATGAAAATTAGAATCATCTGCATTTAGTAAATCTGGACGGAAGTGTTTTGGTTTGTTTGTTTGTTTTTTTCCCAAGACAGAGTTTCTCTGTGTAGCCTTAACTGTCCTGGAACTCACTCTCTAGACCAGGCTGGCCTCAAATTCAGACATCCGCCTGTCTCTGCCTCCTGAGTGCTGGGATTAAAGGCGTGCGCCACCACTGCACTGCCTGGCCGACTCGGTGTTTTCTATAACATTAACTGTCCTTTTGAAGGAGATTAATTCCAGGGGAAAGCTTCACCAGAGGAAAGAAGATCTAGACCAGAGAGGCTGTCTTGCCAGTCAAGACTACTGATTTTCAGCAGCCTGGATGCTGCTAGCTCTGGGATTCATGAAAGTAATTTTGAATGTTTATTAATGGTTTGGGGCCTAATTTTAGTATTTCTGAATGACCTTTGCCATGAATTGATGAAATTTGCATTAGGAATGGATTTCCCAAAGGAACCAAGCCCCCAGTCTAAGAGAACACATGATGACAAATACTCAGAATTCCCCAGTATTGCCTATGACATATCCTGTTCCCTAAACATATGCCAAATCGTAAAAACTGCATTGCAAGCTCCCTTTGTAACCCTAGCAGGAGACAGGCTGAGGCAGGAAGATTATGGTATACTCAAGGCCCTCCTGGGCTACTCTGTAAATTCTGGGTTCCAGGCCAGCCAAGACTACAGAGCTAGCAAAAGAAAACCAAACTAACAAACAAAAGTCCTTCAAGTTACAAAAGACTAGCTTGACAATTGTTTTCCTTAAGCATAAAAATAAATGAGTTGTGCTTAAGATAGCTTTCACTTAAATAATGAAATTATCATTCCATAATTTAGAAACAAACAAATACAAATGAATTGTTCTATAAAAGCAGCAATTTTTGTTAAAATCAACCCTAACCACTGCAAACTTTTAGACACCTCTACATCTTGACCACAGAAACATGAGGAGCTGGAGAAAATTCTTCAGCTTTTATAAAATCCCACCCCTGTGGATTTCTATTCTGGGCTTTTTCTTTTTTCTTTTTTTTTTTAAATATTAGCTTTGTGAATGACATTTTCATTTACCATGTTTACATTTACTTTGAATGTTTCATCTTGGTATCACAAATTTCTACATCCTATTGTGACTTCACCTTTCCATTAGCTATAGAGGGGATCAGGAAAAAAAACACAAATAAAATATTAAACAATAAAAAGCTGTAAGAAAAGAGACATTATTAATTCTTAAACCATTCAAACGACTATGCAGAAAAGTATCTCACACAACATAATCTACTTCATGCTGGGTAAGTTTTCCTCTATGGTTGGAATAACTTGCTTATGTCCCTGTGTAAAGTGTTTGTCTTGATTTGCTGAGATCTGAACTCTCTTCAGAATAGACTAGTGCTTTGCCAATAACTTACATTCTTAGCCTATAGTTTTAAAAATAACATCAACAGGGCATAAATACTTTTCAGCAAATGAAAAACAAAATCAAGGCACAGTGTCATATGATTAGAATAAAGGACAAAATGTACATGATCATTTCAACAACACAGAAAAAGCGTTTCAAAAAATTCAAAATCCTTTCATAAGCATTCAACATCCTTGCAATAGAAAGCAGTCTTCCCCCTGGTAAGGGAATCTCCAAAAGCCCATAGCTCACAGTATATACACTCAGCATAGACTGAAAGCTTCCTCCTGGAACTCAACAAAGACAAAGGTATCTGTCCTCACTACTTCTGTCCTCCATTATACGAGAGATACAACCAAGGGAAGAATAAAATAAAATGTTTCAGCTGGGCGGCAGTGGTGCACGCCTTTAAAGGCAGCAGATCTCTGAGTTCCAGGACAGTGAGGGCTACACACAGACAAACCTGTCTGGACCAGGTAAGAAAAACAAACAAACAAACAAACAAACAGTTTCTAGGTTTAGATTTTTAAAAGGAAGTAAAAGTATTTTAAGAAGATGTTCATAGACGCAGATCATGTACTTAGAAAATTCTAAGAAAAACAAAAAACACATATACAGACACAACTTATTAGAACTACTTTCAGAGAACAACATCAATATGCAAAAATCAAGTTCTATACTCTAGCAAAGAAAAAGCCCAAAATCAATAAAATATTCCATTTATGATAGCATGACAATGAATAAGACACTTAAGAATGAACTCAATGAAACAAGGGCAAGATTTGTACTTTGAAAACTACATGTCATCAAGGGAAAATATCGGGTCTAAAGAAACAAAGAAATGGAGTGTTTATGGTTTGCACTCTGCAGATGACAGGACTTAGGAATGGTTGAGCAATGCAATAACTGTGAATATTCCGACTGATTTGAGGGAGGAGATTGGCAAGTTATCCTAAAATTCACCTAGAAATGTAAGGGACCAAAACAAGCTTGAAGGGCTTAAAGAGTCACATACTCAAACTTCAAAACTTGATACAAAGCTACAGTACTCAAGATAGTTAAGAGAGACAGTAGCAGAATAAGGTTGAGCCAGAAATACAACCTCGTGATTACAATCAATTTGTTTCTGAAAGAGTACCAAGACCATTGAACAGGAAAGACAATAATTGCCTTCTGGTCTGGGCCCTAGCACTGACCAGATCTAGGGCGGCTGCTCTGCACCCAATCTCACAAAACCCACAGGAAGTGGGCCTTCCAGGAGCTCTAACTCGGGCAGTATCTTAGTTAAGGAGACAGCAACCCCCCCCCCAACAGGGAGTAACTGAGACCCACTAGGACCCAGGAATTCACTCCTGGCCCCGAGCACTGGTTCCTTCCGGTCTGGGCCCGAGCACTGAGAAGATCTTGGGCCCCAGCTCTAACCCTAGTAGTAATACCCACCCCACACAGTTCTGACACAACCAAGATAATAGGAAAGACAGGTTCCAGTCAGAGACAATGCAGGGAGCACAAAGGTGATCCAGATGGTGAAAGGCAAGCACAAGAACAACAGCAACCCAGGGTACTTGGCATCATCAGAACCTAGTTCTCCCACACTAGAAAGTCCTGAATTCCCCATACCACCAGGAAAGCAAGATTCAGATTTAAAATCACTTCTAATGATGATGATAGAGGACTTTAAGAAGGACATAAATAACACTCTCAAAGAATTTGAGGAGAACACAGGTAAATCGGTAGAAGCCCTTAAAGAGGAAACACAAAAATTCCTTAAAGAATTACAAGAGAACACAACCAAACAGGTGAAGGAATTGATCAAATCCATCCAGGACATAAAAATGGAAGTAGAAACAATAAAGAAATCACAAAGGGAGACTACCCTGGAGATAGAAAACCTAGGAAAAAAATCAGGAGTCATAGACACAAGCACCACCAACAGAATACAGGAGATAGAAGAGAGAATCTCAGGTGCAGAAGATACCATAGAAAATATTGACACAGCTGTCAAAGAAAATGCAAAATGCAACAAGTTCTTGATACAAAACATCCAGGAAATCTAGGACATAATGAGAAGACCAAACCTAAGGATAATAGGTATAGAAGAGAGTGAAGATTCCCAACTTAAAAGGCCAATAAATATCTTCAACAAAATTATAGAAGAAAACTTCCCTAACCTAAAGAACGAGAAGCCCATAAACATACAAGAAGCCTACAGAGCGCCAAATAGACTAGACCAGAAAAGAAATACCGCCCATCACATAATAATCAAAACACCAGTCGGGCAGTGGTGGCGCACGCCTTTAATCCCAGCACTTGGGAGGCAGAGGCAGGCGGATTTCTGAGTTTGAGGCCAGCCTGGTCTACAGAGTGAGTTCCAGGACAGCCAGGGATACACAGAGAAACCCTGCCTTAAAAAACAAAACAAAAAATCAAGACACCAAATTCACAAAACAAAGAAAGAATATTAAAAACAGTAAGGGGAAAAAGGCCAAGTAACATATAAAGGCAGACCTATCAGAATTACACCAGACTTCTCACCAGATACTATAAAAGCCAGAAGATCCTGGACTGACATCATACAGACCCTAAGAGAACACAAATGCCAGCCCAGGCTACTATACCCAGCAAAACTCTCAATTACCATAGATGGAGAAACCAAGATATTCCATGACAAATCCAAATTTACACAATATCTTTCCACAAACCTAGCATTACAAAGGATGTTAGCAGGAAAGCTCCAATACAAGGAGGGAAATTATACCCTAGACAGAGCAAGAAAGTAATCCTCTTCTAACAAATCCAAAAGAAGATAGCCACACAAAGATAATTCCACCTCTAATAACAAAAATAACAGGAAGCAACAATTACTGTTC